TTAATGACGATATTCGTGACCACCAAACGATTCCGCGTCGATTGAGCCCTATCAAAGTCAATTTGGGTGCCAAATACAATTTTTCTGACTAATAGCACAGAGTCATTATACGACCAATGGCGTGAGCATACGGTTTTTCCTTTTTTCTGGGAAAACGGTTGACCACCAAACGTTTTACTGATTATATTCGTGACCACCAAACGATTCCGCGTCGATTGAACCGTATGAAAGTCAATTTGATTGATAAATAATGTTTATCCCTCAAATTACCGAGTTAACGTCACGAAGTCATACGACCAATGGCGTGAGAGTACGGTTTTATCTATTTCTTAGGAAAACGATTAACCACCAAACGTTTTAATGACGATATTCGTGACCACCAAACGATTCCGCGTCGATTGAGCCGTATGAAAGTCAATTTGATTGATGAATAATGTTTATCCATCAAATTACCGAGCTAACGTCACAGAGTCATACGACCAATGGCGTGAGAGTACGGTTTTTTCTATTTCTTAGGAAAACCATTGGCCACCAAACGTTTTAATGACGATATTCGTGACCACCAAACGATTCCGCGTCGATTGAGCCCTATCAAAGTCAATTTTGGTGATAAATACAATTGTTCCGACTACGGCATTATGCGCATACGGTTTTTTCTATTTTCTTGGAAAACGGTTGACCACCAAACGTTTTACGGGTGATATTCGTGACCACCAAACGATTCCGCGTCGAATGAGCTATAAAAAAGTTAAATTGGTTGAAAAATAAAAATTGTCCGGCTAACTTCACACCGAAAATTTCATTTTTATTTTACAGGAAAACGACTAACCACCAAACGATCGGACTAGACTACCAAAGACCACTAAACGACCACCAATCGATTCCGATTAATGCAAGTTCGATACGTTGAAGTTGTCCGGCCAACTTCATAAAGGTTGCTAGTGCAGGAGAGGGGGCTGACCAACCAGAAGGGAGACAGATATGCTGCTCCCTACAGCAGGAGCCATAAGCAGAAGGCAGAAGCCATATGCGCATGCGCTGTGATATCTGTAGAACTCTCACAGCGCATGCGCATATGGCTTCTGCCTTCTGCTTATGGCTCCTGCAATTTTATGTGCTTCCACCTTTACATAAAACTTGATTTTCAGATGAAATTATTCCTCAAACGTTGAAAACATGCATTCACTCTATTCGCGTTGCTTGCACTTTTTGCACTCAGCATTTTCGCTTTCTTTCTTTCCAACGGCCGAATATATGTTTATTTCATTTCAAGTGCAAAAATGTTTGGGGATTTAAGCAACGCGAACAAACCTATTATAGACGTGTTTCCCAAATAAAAAAGAAAAAAGAATGTTTTTAAAATTATGTCTGCTAACTATATACGCTCAATTAACTTTTATTAATTATAAATAAACTATTATTTCCTAAACTATGAGAATATATTCCTAAATTTGCCTAAACGATTCCCAAATAATTGCAATAATAAAAAATAAAAAATATCAAATTTGTTTGCTATATGGAGGTCTTTATATCTCAGTGGCCTATGGTCTATCTATTGTATTTTTTTTTTTGGTTTCTGCTCCTTTGGGAAGGAGCACGGTCTTACATACAGGTCTGGAAACTCTAGTGGTGGGGGATGGTCGCCTTAGCGACGAAGAAAATAACTCGCTTTGTGACCGTAAGAGTCGCTGCCATCGGTCAGTGTATTATGTGGTAGGACAAGGACGGAAATAGTAATTAGTAAATTCAAAATCGTGAGTGTCAAATAGGCAATAATTGAAGTTTCAAATGAGGAAAGGAATAATAAATAACTTTGTATTAAGAATAAAACGTTGGAAATCTTTTTATTCGTTTCTTTATAAGGACAAATACTGACCGAGCGATACTGAGGGAATAAAAATTCTGCGTGAAGCATATATAATACTGTGCCTTCCTAGTGTGTTTTAGATTGCTAAATGAACAATATAGACAACACGATTTTTGTTTTACAATAGTTATTTATTTCGACCAAGCTCTTTTTCATCCTTTATTTGGAATCTAATTATAATAAAACAATAAGAAATAATTTACTTTGTAAGATATAATGTTATTTTATGGAAAAGAAATATCTCTCTTCGAATACAAACGATATCAATAAACAATATCAATATAAATTGTTTCTCATAACGAGAAACTTAATTCTAACGAACACCGGATCATAAAAAAACGGAAGGCCAATTATACGAATGCGCAAATTAATAAATTGATATATAATTTATTCTTAATTTACAATATTTAAAGATGACGCGTGATTCTCGGTATGAGAGCGGTTGACTTGTATTAATTCTGATTCTTACCTTACGTATGCCTTGGTTTTATAAGATTAATTAGAAAGTTGAAGGCTATGAGTAAAGGAATATGAAGTAAATAATAATTACCCGTTTCGAGAATCCATAGTTAATTTACAGGTTTCAATATTTATATACATTCTTATTCCAAAAAATATCAATGTAGTTGTACACATAATCAAGGTCGATATCGACCTTTTTACTGTGACTAGTTACAGTTATTTAAAGAAAGAAAATGTCATATAAAAAAAGATTTACATGAGAAAGATGTTATTTTCAATCCATGTCGCTGTCCATGTCCTCAGGAGCCGAAGAAAGTATTTCAACTTAGCTCAAAGAAATAATAAATGACTTTGCATTAAGAATAAAACGTTAGAAATCTTTTTATTCGTTTTAAGAAAACCATTTAAATACATGCAAGTGCGAGGCATTTTTTGCAAAACACGATTCAACATATCGAATAAGATGAAAAAAATGGTGGTTTGCATGCTTCAAACCACCGCGACTTTTCATGTTTACAAATTCAGCGACTGAGGATGTGCATTATATGTCATTTTCAAAAATGCACTTGAATTAAGCGCAATTAAAAAATTGTTGTCACGTTACCATGGGTTACCATCTACACTTCGCGATGACAGCGATGCATAGTGACAACGCCGTGAAATAAATTCTTCCTTGCTAAAACGACCATCCCCCACCACCGAAATCGGTCTGAGTTTCCAGACCTGTATGTAAGACCGTGGGAAGGAGCAAAGCGCCTTCAACCCTGCCTTTGGGTTATATAGCGCTATCTATCTATTGTATAATATATCTATGGTTCGGTCACATGATCGATGACGTACTTATGGAGGATTCACATTGCGTCCGATCACGTCCGATGTTCGACGTACGACGATCCGACATCCAATAACAGAATTTATTATTAGAGACAAAAATTTCCTATTGGATGTCGGATCGTCGTACGTCGAACATCGGACGCAGTGTGAATCCTCCAT